CAAGCCAGCGTGCTGCGCCTCGAAGTGTGCAACCAGGCGTGGGACGTACCGACCACGATTGCCGAGCACGCGCCCGCGGACGCGGGCCGCTTTGAGTGGAAGCGCGTGCATTGGGGCATGCCGATCCAAGGCGGGTACTTTATCAAAGCGTACGCCGTCTCGGAGCTCGGCATGCTCGAGCTCGTGGGCGAGAGTTCGCTCTTTTCGATAGTCCAGTGACCGGGCTTGTTATTTAAGCGACGACGCGAGCCAGCCCCGTGGACCTTACACCAGCGTGCGTAGTATGCTAGCGATCGCTCGCCATCTCTCTAATATATTATTTCCTTTGACGCCGTGCTTGATGCTTGATCCTCTCACGACCCGCTCGACCTCGTTCATCTCGGCTCGGCTGCATCTACCGTCCCGCGCGCGTCGGTAGCCCCACCCATGGACAGGCGGCATAGCAGCATTTCCTTCGGCCGTCCCGTCGCATGCACTGGCGCACCACCTGAGTCCGCCGGCCCTGTCCCGCGCTCGATCGTGTTTGTGCACATCATAATATTGTCTATCCATGGTTGTACATAAGGTATTGTCTATCAAAGGTTCCACGAGTCTACGAACAAACAGACACACAGGCAAACCCACAAAACGGCCGAGCGCTGCAACGTATCTTCGCGCTCGGCTCTCGGTACAATCCCTTGGCTCTGCCATTCGGTGCGTCAGTCCGTGCTCGCCTCGACGACGTCTCGCCTTGGACCGACAAATTGAAAATGTACACTATCATATTATTGTCTGTCGAAAAGGTTAACCAAGTAGAAATGGAAAAAGAGGTTAAACTTAGTATGGTACAAGGACAAACTGTCGACGCAGGGTCGGGTTGCAGCTACAGCGCTGTGCGGCGCGACGCAGCGAGCGTCGTGTTGGCGTGCACGGACGGAAACACGTTCTTGAGAAACTCGGCCATGCGTCGTCGGAGGACACTGAGCCAGCGGCGCAGAACCTAGCGGACGCGTCATTGATATAGAGGTCGTACTTGCAGGAGGCCTACCACACGCTTGCGAGGGCGCGTCGAGGCCTTTGGGTCCTGCACAAACGGGTGGGCAAGCACCTACTCCAAGCGGCGTCTCGTCTTGATATTGCACGAGTCATTGTGTACCTGGTCCATGGTGATGCGCATACTCGGGTCGGCAACAAGCATGCGCTCGAGCAAGTCGAGGGCCGGCGCCGGCACCAAATGCACGAGCTTCCACGCCCGAAGCACCGTCGTGATGCCATGCGACTTGACGTACGCAAACACCTATGGCCCATGATAATGCAACAACTAGAGAAAAGGAAGAGTGAACCTTGTCGGTCTCGTTGGCCCGAGCAAATGGCGGCGCACCCGTGAGCAGAATGAGCAGAAGAATACCCAGCGCCCAGACGTCGGCGGCCGAGGGGTCGTACGGCTTGCGAGCGTACATTTCCGGGGCCATGTAAAAGGTCTTCCCGACGGCTTGCGCGATGGGCGTGTGGACGTGCGTGGCCAAACCAAAGTCGCAGACCTTGGGCACATGACCGTCCATGAGCACGTTCTCGAGCGAGACGTCGCGATGGGCAAAGCCGCGGGCGTGCATAAAGCCAATCGCATCGGCGATCTGGCGAAAGTACGAGGCGGCTAACGGCGCCGGCGATGGCAGCGGGTGGGTGAAGAGCTCGCCTTGCGCACAGTACTCGAAGACAAAGTGCATGTAGCCGTCTTCCTCAAACGAGTCTAGCATCGCCATGATATTCTTGTGGCGCGGCGCGACCGAGAGCGCGTCGTTGACGGTCTTCTCCATGAGGATGTCCTCGGCGATCGGGACGCCGCCGTCGAGCGAGAGGCGGCGCGTGGCTGCCAACAGCTGCATGCGCTTGATCGCCACGCGCCGGTCATTGCGCACCTCGGTGGCCAGCACGACGTCGCCGTACAGCGCCTTTGCGAGCACCTTGTCGACCGAGTACGCGTCCATAGTGCCGAAGAGATTGTGGCGAATGGCCGTTGTCCCAACTGGTATACGAGGCAGCTGTAATGGTGCGAGGCAGGTGCTGTATATGAAGGTTTGTATACATCCACGTGGCGCCGTAGCGTGAGTCGCAGCGCGTTGCAGAGGCGCGATGACGCCGCCGGTCGCTGCCTCTACCTTGGCGAGGACGTCATAGTATTGTGGCGTTGTATGAGGCTGGTTGCTCGAATCCCATCAATATAGTTGATGCAACAACGACCATGGACCTCGAGACAGCCACACTCGCGTCCGAGACACGGCCCGAGACAATCGGTGGCCTTTCGCAGCCCGCGCAGTAGCTTCCTTGCCAAGGTCCTAGCACGGCACCTCGACACCGCAAGACGACGTTCATGTCGGTTGACAAGGCTTGCCGGCGCGTCGAGGCGGTCCATTACGTGCCACCTCGGACGGCCGCGGCGCGTTGCGTCGGTGGTTGCAACAGCGTTGGTGCGCTGCAATGAGTAGCCGCGGGCCAAGTAGCTTGCAGCTGGCGGTTGCACAGCCACGGCATGGCTTGGAGACCACGCGGTGACACACGAGGCGGATGCCAAGATGGTCATCATCAAGTGATGATAAATAGGAGTCCATGTTACAAAGGTCGTCTTAAAGGCGATGGGGCGTCGTAAACGCGCGCTGCCGGTCGCCGCACTCGACGCTTTGCCGGCGCGTCGGTAGCCGGAGCGGCGTGAGCACCTTCTGGAAGAAGCTACGCTGCTTGCTCGGCTGCCGCTGGTCGCCGACCAAGTACGAGTGGCTCGCTACCTCGAGGATCGACGCCCGATCGGATGGCGATGGCACGAGTAGCCGCGAGAGCACGTCCATGGCTTGCGTCGAGATCAAGTGATCGACGCGGAGCAGCGATGCGAGGCCCGTGACGCCGGACGTCAGGAGACACTCGTACCGGTCGTCGAGGCGCCGCGCTTGGCGGAACGGCGCGACGCCCGTGAGCATGATGAAGAGCATGATACCGAGCGCCCAGACGTCGGTCGCCGACGGCTCGAACGGCGTTCCTTCCCTGTACATCTCGGGCGCCATGTAAATGTACTTGCCGACAGCTTGCGTCACGGGCTTGCCACACTCGGATGCGAGGCCAAAGAATCCAACCTTGCACGTGCCATTGTCCGTCACGAGCACGGTCTCGAGCGAGAGGTCGCAGTGCGCGAAGCCGCGCTTGTGCATGTACGCAACGCCGTCAACGATCTGGCTAAACAAGCCCATGGTCCGTGCAGGGCTAAAGCGCTTGGTCGCCGACGTGCAGAGGACGTCGTAGACCGAGCCGGCGCCGCAGTGCTCGAAGACCAAGTGCTCGATGTCATTCTCCTGAAAGTCGCGGAGTAGCTTGAGCACGTGCATGTGGCCGCCTTTGGAACTCAGCGCGCGGCTCACGCGGCGCTCCATCTCGGCGTTCTCGCTAGGCCGGACGCTGCGGGGCGTGGCCTTGTGCGCCTTGTGGGCAGGTAGCCGGCGCATGGCGACGCGCAAGCCCGTCTTCTTCTCGCTGCAGGTAGCGAGGCTGCCATCGCCCATGCTCAGCACGATGTACTTGTCCATGACGAGGATTGTGGAATGATGAGCCGATTGGCTCCGCGCCGGCGATCGGAGCCAAATTTTTCGACACTGCGGGCTGATTGGCTAAAATACCATTGTCGCGTATTTCTGACGCACCGTGGTCATCCACGCACTGGCCTTCCAGGATGCCCCGGGGTCTGGTTTGGAATTGGCTAAATGCACGCCACTCTCAGTGCCGGTGTAGAGCAGGATCGCGCACAGGTCGTTGCGACTCTGGTAGCGACTGCTGGCGACGCCCAGAGATTGCCTTGCATCCCATTGCGAGCGCTGCTGCTGGTAATACACGCCTCAGCCTGACAGCGTTGGCCGTCACGGCGAAGGATGCCTTGGATGAAGACCGCGCGTAAAGGGGTGGGTCCACATCGCGCGTGGGCATGTTGCCCACAGAGCAGAGATGTGTATCCTTCAGCACATATGCAAGCGTTCGTGGTACGGCATGTGCAGCAGCAGCGTCATGCCAGCAACGGTCGTGCGCGTTCCAAGTTGCGTGCGTCTAGCCTGCGTAGCGACGGGACCACGGGCCATCGCGTGCCCCGGGGTAGCGTATCTTTGGCCCCCAATTGCGCCATGTGGCATTCCAGATGCACCACATTTTTGGCGCGCATTCGTGCGCTGGTCCCAACTGCGTCGATCGACTTTTACTGCCCGCTAATATCACTGCGCTAATATCGTATTTGCCACGACGTGCTTGCGCGTAGGACTTGATATCGCAAGAGCTGGAACTATATTCATGGGGTTGCTGCAACGGCCACTGCGTACCTTCAACGTGCAGTAGTAGCCACAGTCTCTGCCGGCTGAAGCGAGTGGCAAGCTCGCCTTCTCCTGGTACACAGTACTCATACACAGTACTGTACGTTGCGTGGTCGGTTGCGTAGTATCCTGCAGCGATGGGCGAGAACTCCGCCAGGCAGCCAGACGGAGATCGTGAGGCTGTCTGGGCGATCGTGTAAATGCGATGCGAACGAGTGATGTTCGCTCGGGCTTCTAGCAGAAAGCGGCGAGAAGAAAACGCTTGTGCTTTCAACCTCTAGATCGTCAACGCCGCTGGTCATTGTGGTCACGGAGAGCAAGAAAGTCGATGCAAGGCTCTTCAACGTACCAGAGTACGGCGCACGACGTGCGGAGCAGGAAGGGCATCGGCAGGAGTTTGCTGCACCGGATTGAAGGTGCGGATTCTCTTTCACCGGTCGCCGCGCCTTTGCTTCGAGAGAAGAGCCAGCCAAGCGACAGGATCAATGTATGCCTCAGAGAGGTCCAATAGTTGTGTTGTCATACATAGTCCCTCTAGAATGGAAGGCTGCGACCCTGACTGCGACCCAGACTGCGCCCCAGATTTTTACAATCAAGAGCATATGTAGGTATTTTGATGTCCTAATATTAATAGTAGATCTTGCAGCGAGTGTCGATGTGTGCACGTTACGTCGGCTGGCCAGAAAGACAGATGCTGTAGACACGAAACGGTCCGACTATAAATAGAACGCGGTCCGACTATAGAACCTGGTTCTATAGCATGATGCTATCGAACGCTGCGTGTGAAGAGACGAACGCTGGTCGCGTCTGGCTTGCAGAAATCGCACACTCGTTTCGGCATGCTATTAGTATACTACTTGCTGTATAAAACTAGAGACGTGCGTCGCTTGTACCGTGATACTCAGCGAGGAACTTGCGTCGTCGAGACGAGCCATCTCCTTCCGTCGGTCGCTTGCAGGGCGTGGATTGGTCACGTATGTGCTTGTGGCCAGGCGTTGGACGACGCGTTTCGTTAGTTGTTATCGAGCGTTCTACCGTGGCCGTATTCACGCTGCGTCTGGAGATTGTCAAGGGAGCGATGTATCCGAGGCCGCAGTGCAGGAGTGTGAGCTAGGGTAGCCTTGCAACGAGGAACCGCCGCGTCCAGTGGGCCGCTATAATACATGGAAGCAGCGGACGGCGGATGGTATTTCTTGGCAACACAAAAGCAATTTCTCCATATTTTTCAGAAAATACCTCTCGAATTTCTTTTCACCGATTTCAAAACGACAAATATGGCACCATTGGATAAATAAAAACGGTTAGAAAACGCGCTACGACGTAGCTAGTGCCACTGGCTATTGGCGAGCAAATCGAGCGACGAGCCACCGCGCTTGCCACGAAAGAGGCGCCGAAAAAAGTTCTGGACGCGCACGCGCTTCTTGATGCGGTCTTGGGTCGGCGACGGCGGCGATTTCGGACGCGCCAGAAACGGATGTGAGAGCACTTGCTGCATGCAAAAGCGTTTGGCGGGGTCTTCGACGAGGAGGCGTTCAATGAGGTCGATCGCGTCGTCGGAACAGTACTGGAGCACCTTCCAGCCCTTGAGAATGGTGCGAATGCCGTGGGTCTGGTACGCCACAAACACGGGATCTAGTTCATTAACACCTTGTGAGGCCATGCTCTTTCTACGATGTAGTAGGAACGCACCAGTGCAGTTGGCCTTCCCGAACGGGGGCAGGCCCGTGAGCATGATCAAAAGGAGCATGCCCAGCGACCACATGTCCGCGGTCGCCGCGTCGTACGGCTTGCCGAGAAACACTTCGGGGGCCATGTAAAAGTACTTGCCGACAGCGATGGTCCGTGGCCCGTTGGCCCGCGCCGCCGCAAGGCCGAAATCCATGAGCTTGCACGTATTGTCGGCGGTCAGCACGACGTTTTCGAGCGAGAGATCGCCATGCGCAAAACCATCTACGCACCAATAGGGAGTGTTATCTTCAACAGGAATCAAGAACGACGACGACGTACGATCGTGAAGAAAGGCGAGGCCGGCGGTAATGTTATGAAAGTAGGCACGCGCTTCCAAGGCGCGGAAGCGCTGCTGCGTCCGAAGCTGCGAGAAGAGGTCGCCGCGGCTCGCATACTCGAGTACAAAGTGGTCGCGGCCGTCGGCCTCAAAACACGCGAGGAGCTGGAGGATGTTGGCGTGGCCACCGTGGAGCTGCATCTGCGTGTAGACGCGTTTTTCCATCGCAATGTCTTCATGCACCTAGCGCACGCGGTCAGCGCGACGCCATCGTCGATCGCATCTTACCGGAAGGCCGTCGGTCGTGGCGTGGGCGGCGGCGCGGTCGAGGTCCATGGCCTTGACGACCACGTCCCGGCGCGTCATGGCGTCCGTGCAGAGGAGCACCTCGCCGAAGAGCGCGGGCGCGAGGAGACGGCGGTTGACGTACTTGTCCATGCGTCGGCTTCTTGTGGAATGTGACCGTCCGCGATGTCATTGGGTGGCTTGGGCCAACGCATCTTACACGGCGATTGGCGGATCTATTTTTAATTCTCTGCTCTGATTGGTGCGCATTTTGAGACGCCGCCAATGGGCCAATGAAACGCAACCTCCGGACTCAGCGTTAAACGTCGCATGGGTTTAACCGAATGTAGGTCCCTTCCGTATCGATTCGACGCGAAGCGCGACTGATTCGTGCAGCGCGATGACCACGGACCAAGCACCATGCGCGATGCATAGCCGCAATTCACATCTAGCATAACAATATCCTTGTTGTCGACAGAATGGGAGCGTTGGCGGGACTCGAAGCCGCACCACTAGGCTTGCGTCGGCATCTCGGACACCACCTGGGATGCGAGCAAGATCCCGCGGTGCGATAAGATTCTATTCTGCTCAATGCTCAATGCCCGCAAACGAACACCATGCATTCGTGCTCTAGAGCGGTTGACGTTTGATTCAGACTCGCGGGTCGTCGGTATTGTAGAAAATATTATTACTTGACCACGGAAAGAATGTCGAACCACGCATTTCCGAGTTCGAGGTCGCCTCCTGGTTATATGGTACAGCTCCATTCGGTAGCGCCTGTGGCAGTACCAACGATGACGTCAAGCCCGTTGTGCTTCGAGACTAGTGACGTGCGAGAGCTCTGCCTTGTGCGCCCGACGGATTGTCCCGAGATGTGATGGTCTGTACCTTGACACAAAACCGCCGCCGGCCATTACGCCGCTACGCGAGCCAGTGCCCGCGTGCGTCCGACGGCCGACTGACGAACGCACTCGCTCACACGCACGTCTACGCTGGCGTATAGCTTGGATCCTGCGGAGGTACCGTCCTGCGGCAGCAACGACCTACATTTGTCTTTCGCCGACACTTGAACGTGGAGTTTAACGCGATTACGCAACGAGCAATTTCGATTTCGCGGTCGCATCATGGCGTGATCAAGCGCGCGCAATCGGCCGGTCGCAATCAACAACAGCTGCACCCATCGCGTCATCCATCGCGGTGTCTTTAGTCGACGATTAGTTAGTTGGTGGCATCGACTAGAGCGCAATTGCGAATCTGGGCGGCAACTGCGTGGCCCATCTATGTCGAACGCACGGCTGCGATGCTTCGTGGATTGAAGGAGGAGACATCAGAATCCAACGCGCCCAGATTCTCCGACTCTTAGGTTGTTCGATGGTTCAATGGTCGTTGGCCTTTCCAGTGGCTATGCATCCAGTGGTTGAACCAGTGGCTGAACCAGCATTTCTGGGTACACAAGCGTGTTGACGCGAAGCGCTTGCTGCGTCAACGCGGACGACGGGCGCCCGTGCACATGTCCCGCGAGATAACGAAACAGCGTGCGACTAAGTTCATCGGACATCGCTGGTCGTTCGTCGGTCGGCGCACATCTGCGACGCCGCGATCCTGTCCACCTCGTCTTGCGTGTCGCTGGGAGCTCCGAGCCGACACCAAGAACGAGCGCTCTGCCGTTAAATTAGGTGCCTTTCACTGCTGCAGGCGACTGCAGAGGCAAGAGACGACAGACTCGAGTCAATTGGAAAGGTATATATATAATAAGCTACAATAAGACTAGGATCGATAAATAAGACACATGTAAGGAGGTGGGCGCGGCTTACTGCCACACGGCAACCTTCTTGGACGAGTGCGAGAAGACGTTCTTGAGGAAGGCACGGACGTGGTTGTGCTTGGCCTTCTCCGCCTTGTGCGTCTTGGTCTCGACAACCGGCGTCACCGCTGCGAGAACGTCGTTGATATGCGGGCGGCCCGCCGGGTCGATCGAGAGCATTTGTTCGAGGAGGTCCATGGTCGCCGCGGGAATCAAGTGGTCGACCTTCCACGACGTGGCGATCGCGCGCAGACCATAGGTGGAGACATACTCAAAGACCGCGTCGGACGGCACGGCCTGCGAAAACGGCGGGTTGCCCGTGAGCATGATGAAGAGCATGATGCCCAGCGACCAGACGTCCGCGGCCGCCGCGTCATAGGTGGCGCCCGTAAACATTTCCGGGGCCATGTAAAAGTACTTGCCGACGGCGTTGCGCTGCGGCAGGTCGATCGCGACCGCCAGGCCAAAGTCGATGACCTTCATGACGCCGTGTGCGTCGACAAGCACGTTCTCGAGCGAGAGGTCCATGTGCGCGTAGCCGCGGCGGTGGATGAACTGGACGCCGGCGACGATTTGCTCAAAGTAGTGGAGCGCGATGGGCGCTTCGAGGCGGGTCGCGCGCGAGACAAGGTCAAAGAGCTCGCCTTTCGGGCAGTGCTCGAGCACAAAGTGGTCGTAGCCGGCTTCGGTAAAGTCGCGTAGGAGCTGGAGCACGTGCGCATGGCCGCCGAGCTTGCTCAAGTGGCGGTGAATGGCCTTCTCGGGCCCCGGCGTGTGGCGAATACGCTTGACGACGACGTCCTTCTGCGTCATCTTGTCGGTGCAGAGGAGCACCTTGCCCGACGCCACCGACGCAATCTCGCGCTGCACCACGTAGCGGTCCATCGAACTCATAGATATATGTGCTGGACGCGTGAAATTGTAAACTGACAACTGGATCCAAACCGCACCACCGAGAATTGATGGTGGCGGACGATACAGTGTATGGATTGCGGCGACCACTGTCTCGCGAAGCCCATCCTGTGTTTTTCGCAGGCGCCTGGTCCCACTGTATCCGTGGTGGCGGTGGACAGGGCAATTCCCTTCTTGCACGGGACTCGAGGTACTGGACGCACGCGGATTGGCGCAAACCCAGGCCATGTCCTTCAACCTCCAAAGACGTCGCACCCGATGCCACCAAGGTACAAGAGCGCTCGATGCGCTCGGAGGTACGAGGATGCTTTGCACTACGCAGTGGAGCAAGCGAGGTCGGTGGCGTGCGCTGACGTGTGTGGCACGTCGTGCTGGCGACCGGTATGGCGCCAACGTGGGATCGCGGCAATAAATTTCAGCCCACTTGGGTGGATTCCCTCCGTGCAACTCTGCGTCGCTGGCCCGCGGCCCTGGACAGAACAGGACAGGCCGTTGCAGTTGCGGTTGCGATATGCCATACCGATTACGACACGAATTTTGGACTTGCACGCCGCGGCGCGCCGCGTCGACGACCACGTTCATGCTTCCTCTCTATGAATTCCTTCTGGGAACGCCGTGACGCTTCAGCTGCGAGAACGAAGCATGCATACGACATGTAGTACATCCCATGCACACAAGCAAAAGGTACACGTTGACGCATTGTTGAGAGTACATTGGTCGCGAATCTCGCGCCTCCTTACGCCAAGCGTCGCTCCATCTCGGTTGCAATCGTGATGTTGTACGTCGGTCGATTCCAGTCCGACTCGATTGTATCGGGGTTGTACGCGCCAGGGCCCTAAGGCAGTCATGAGCCCACGCACATTCATTGCGACGAACATCATTCGCTGGGCGTAGGACACTCCACATTGCCCAAAAGATTCAAAAATACACAAAAATAGTCAAAATATACAAAAATGAAAAAGCTTACCACATTGGCGAGCGGCGTCAGCGTCTTCTTGAAGCGCGGCTCCTATGAATGCATGGTCGACCAAGACGGCGTGCAGAGGTCCGCACCGTCGAGACGAACACGTCACCACGTCGGTTGAGTGGTTTTTGGAGCTTGGCGACGTCGGGCGTCGAGTATGCGCCGGGGCCCTACATGTGTGCATGCCATTCAGCGACCGCAAAAAGATGCAAGACGCTCCACCGGGATCGCGAGCTTGTCCTTCTGAGAGACGTCGCGCGTTAAATGCGAGGCAAAGGTCGAGCGGCCGCCCGGCTTGTCCCAGGACATGGATATCTGCGCGATAGCCCAATGCGATGTGACATCCTCTCGATCACGCTAGGAGGTGTTCACCTCATAATCGCCCACGCACGGTGCCGCATCCTTCTTGCCGTCCACGAAGCGGGCCGTGCCCGACGCGAAGCTCGATGTCTTCTTCTTGGCGTTCTCGGGGGACGACGACTCTACGTCGACATCACACCTCGTTTTAGCGTCGCGCCGGCCACAATTCGAGTACCTTGATTGCTCGCACTGGCGGCGCCGGCACTGTGCTCAAGGATCTTTTCCAACAGTGCATCCGAGCTCGACTTTGGCGCCTCAAACCGCCTCGTCGTCGAGCCAAACACGCCCGCCCGTCCCGTCTACGCCTTGCGTTCAAATCCGCACCTTGACACGCCTTGTACCGTTTTGTGCGAAAGCTCCTTGACGATCGAAGACGCTTCGTAGGAGCCGGGCCCAATGTCAAACTGCTCCTTGGTCATGGTCGTCTCGAACCGGTCCTGCGTCGAAGCAAACGGTGCGGCGTGGCGCGTCGGGCCGTGGTGTCCCGGCGTCGGTCGCGGCTCGGGCGTGTACACGGGCGACGGATGTGCCACGAGCTTTTCCGCCTCGAAGCGCGACGACGTGCTTCCGAAGAATTGCAAATGCTCTGGCTTTCGCGCAGGCTTGATGCCCACTGGCTGCTTGTAAGCTCCGGGGCCTGGAATCGGCGTCGCATCGCGCACGGGCCGCGCCGCCTTTTCGCGCGTTAAATTCGACTGGAAGACTGCGCTGGGCTTGGCAAAGGCACTGCGTAGTGGCGCCGGGTCTGGGTCGTACGCGCCGGGACCTGGCGCATCTTTCTTGGTCGGCTTGTCGCGCACTGTACGGGACTTGGCAAAGTTGGTGCCCTTTGGCCGGTCCAAGCGGTGGATCGCGTCGAGAGGGTCGTACTCGCCAGGGCCCGTGAGGTCTTCGGCGCGGCCGCTACGCACGACGAAATGTGAGCGATGGGCAGCGCACAAGGACATGGCTGTACGAGTGGCCCAAGTGCGCAGGCTTTTGTGCAATCATTTGACCTTTTGGACCTTCTTCGTAGCCAAAGCTTTGGCCAATGTGGGGAATCGACGGCGCGGTTGGGACGCGGATCCACTTGACCTTGCCCGACTTCGGGGCTATGGGGTCCGAGCTCGACCGGCGTCTACGAGAAGGCGATCTAGTTGGTCTCATATACCGGTATCTGTATATTTTTCGAGGACGTACAGAGGCTTGGCTCGCTTCCCGGCGATGAAGCTCACTTCGGCGCCCTTGTAGCTGCCTGGGCCGGGCGTGCTTGCGAGGCCGAGCTTGGCCGTGCTGCGCTCGGACGTCGACTTGAAGAACGAGCTCTTCGTCTCGGCGATTGCGAGCACATGCGCGATGCGGTCGTTCTCGTACGCGCCGGGTCCTGGTGTGCGCATGAGCAGGTCGGTCGCCGCTTGCTTGGCGCCGGACGAGCCAAAGGCGGCAAAGCTGGGCTTGGGCTGGTACGAGCTCGAGCTCGAGCTGTAGCTGCCCGGCCCGACCGTGGTCGCGGTGCTTGCGCCGGGTGGGCCCGTCGACCGCGCGGTCCGACTGCACCAGGCCATCTTGTCAAACTGGGGCCGGCGGATCTATTTTCATTCGCCGCATCGGATTGGTGGACATGGCAAGAAAATGCACCAATCCGAAGCGGATATGGCCGACATGTCCACCAATCAAACGTTTGATACAGTCCATGGCCAATCCTGGATGTGGCGTGCGACAGCCAGGGTCCAGCTCGCTGGCCCCTTGGGTGCCGACGGCAAAGCTTGAAGAAGCCCACATGTCGTGGACGGCGCCAGTCGTTTATCACCCAAGAGAGAGACTGCACACGCTCGTGGCCGTTGATTCACGGCAACCACGATTTTACTCGGCTCGGAAAAAAGTTCAGAAACTTCGGTCATCCACTGCTTGCA